CCCCCACCCCAGCGGACACAGTCTCGGAGCCGGGCTGCGTGCGCGCGAGGCCGCTCCACCCTCCGCGGACCGCGGACTCGCCGGAGCCTTGGGGAGGGGGCGGCCCGGCGCGTTGTGGTCTAGCGCCGTCGCCAGGGCCGGGGAAGGTGCTTCTTCGACGGCCTTGGCAGTGGCTTGGCGGGCCCTTGCCCTGTTGGTCCGGAGCTGGGGTCCTTCCTTCCGCTTTCTCTACTCGTTTTGGGTTCGGAAGACAGGGTTTGGAGGGGTTGAAAGGGTTCGATGGATGGGAAGTGCACTTTCCTTTGCTTACTACCATCACCACCATCACAAAGAGGAGATTCTTCCGCCCTCGGCTGGAAGCTTGGAATTTGCACCGCCAGGGCTTTTGAGTTGCACGTTTCCTGTTTACGTTGTGCAGATGGGAATTTTAGGAACATGTCTCTGAGCCGGCCGGGGAGGGAGGGGATTTTGCGCAATCTTCAGAAGCGCCTCGAATTTCAATGCTGTGTGGCCGCTGTAGTGAATATGATTGAATACTGACAAAGTGTGTCACTGGATATTAACGTAGTGTGTACAGACATAGTGTGTACTGGCACATTGTGCTGTTCAGTGTTAACATAGTGTGCTATGAAATAGACACAATGTGTTGTAAAATATTGACATGGTAAGCTATTAAATATAACTATATTGAATGTATGTGTGCTATGAAATAATATGAAATGTTAAGTTAGAAGCTAGAATTATGGAGTGGGTAAATAAGAACACACCCAGGGAGCCTGTAGAGCCATCACCAAGGCAACCTGCCCTCATCGATAACCAGACTCAGCCAGAGGCAAGCCAGCTCCGCACTCATCAATAACCAGACCTGACCAGAAGCCAAGCTGTCACTAACATAGCCCTGGAAATGAGACATAGCCAGAAAGGAAGGGCCAGCCTAAAACATGAAAACTCAGGGCAGCAGAGACCCAGCGAGACGACCTCCCCGAGCAGGTGACTCCACGTCGGACCGACCCTCCACTGGAAGGTTCCGCCCTGGCCAGGCGGCTGCTTCTCCCTTCAACGAGGACACCCTCGGCCGACTCCCCTCCACCTCCGGACCAAGGGACGTGGCTTCCCTGGGTTTGGGGCACGCTTAGGCCTACGAGTTAGTTATTGGTGTGGATAGTATTTGAAGTGCTTAAATAAACTAAGTGAACTATTATTAAGTCTACGCGGGTTGCCACTGATATGCAAACTCGTCACGGGGGGGGGGGACGGGGAGGGGCGGTCAGCTTGGGCTTCTCTTTAGTGCCCGGGGGAGTTTATTCCACCCAGCAATGCGGGATCCTCCAGAAATGGGCCGGTCTCTCCCGGGGGAGCCCCGCCCGCCTCGGCTTGCTTCCATTGCAGCGGTCCCTGGACTCTCGCAGCCAAAGCTGGTGTTAACTTCCAACCCTCCTGCGCAAACACGCAATAAAAATCAGTGAATGCGTCTCATTATCCAGTCCAGGAATCACCCAAATCTCTTTGCTTCTGGTGGGACAATTAGACAATTCGTTCTCTCAATAACATCTCGTGACATTTTGATAGAATATGCACAAGTGATCGAAGTTTCAGGAAATCATTTTCACGGTTGCTGACCACGAACGTTGCTTAGCAAGTCCCTCACAATAACTTAGAAGAGCTTAGAAAACCATCTATGTATCACTCTCGACGTGCAACTCCCTCAACTACCAGCAGGAAGCGGCTATTACAAACTGAACTCAAGTCCAGAAGAGCGCTGGCTTCCTAGAGGCTGAGATTTACTCTGATTAGTTCCCTTTTCTGTGCTACAGTCTTCCTCTCGGGATTGAGAAGGTTGGCCCGCACCAGAACTGACGCTGGAGGTATACTTTAATTCTCTGGCTTCATTTGTGTGTTGCCAATGGTCAGACTGAATCATCAGCTTCATTGCTGAGATGGCTAGAACTTGATCTTGAAAACAATTCAACCAAAAATAATAAAATGGCTTCTGAGATACCCCATAGACACTTTCTATAATTCATTCATCATCCAACTTGTTCAGTAAAAAGTAATCTTACTTCCTTGAGAGGCAGTCCATTCCACTGTTTAACAGCCCTATTGTTAGAAAGTTCTTCCTTATTATGTCAGAGTTGTCCAGCTTTCCGGATTCAGTTGTCTGCAACTATGCAGGAAAAAAAAAATCTGTCTTCATATGATAGCCCTTTAGATGTTTAAGGTGATGATCTTGTTCCTTCCCAATTTTACCTTTTATTTTTAAATTGGGATAAAATTGGGCTGGGGTCATAAGTTGTAAGGCACCAGGTTTATAGTTTAAAATTTTTATATATCACGTACAGCTTAGTGACATTTGCTACATCTGTCACATCTATCTAGCTTCAAAACATTTTCATGGGCTGGGAAGGTGGCTCAGTGGTAGAGCCCTTGCCTTGCATGCATGAGACCCTGGGTTCAATTCCTCAGCACCACATAAGCAAAAAGAAAAAAGCCAGAAGTGGCATTGTGGCTCAAGTGGTAGAGCGCTAGCCTTGAGCTGAAGGATAGTGCCCAGGCCCAGAGTTCAGGCCGCACAACCAGACCAAAAAAAAAATAAAAATAAAAAATTTCATCTCCTGTGCCATTGGCTCACACTTGTAATCCTAGCGAATCAGAAGGCTAAGTTAGATACAAGGATGGTAGTTAAAAGCCAGCCAAGGCAGAAAAGTCTGTGAAACTTATCTCCAATAAACTACTTGGAAAAAACTGGAAGTGGTGCTGTGGCTCAAGTGGTAAACGCTAGCCTTGAGCACAAAAAGGCTCAGGGACAGCACTCAGGCCCTGAGTTCAAGCCCCAGGACTGGTAAAAAACAAACATTTTCATCAACCTAAAGAAAATTCCCAGACCCTCCAGGCCCTGGCAACCACCAATTTACCAATTTGCTTTCTGTCTTGATGAGTTGCCTGTTAGGGATTGTGTGTGTGTCTGTGACAGTGGCACGCGCGTGTGGCCCACATATGTGCTTGGGTCCTGGGCCTCTGGTGTTCCTGAGCTTTTTTGCTCAAGGCTTAGTGCTCTACCAATTGAGCCATGGCTCCACTTTTGACTTTTTGGTGATTATTAGAGATAAACTTTCTTGCCTGGGCTGGCTTCAAACAGAAATCCTCAGATCTCACCCTCCTGAGTGGCTAGATTACAGACGTGAACCACTGTCTCTTGGCTTTCTTAGGGATATTTCATATAAGTTAAAGAATAAGGGCTGGGAAAGTGGCTCAGTGGTAGAGCACTTGCCTCGCATGCTCGAGGCCCTGGGTTCGATTCCTCAGCACCACATAAGAAAAAAGCCAGAAGTGGCGCTGTGTCTCAAGTGGTAGAGTGCTAGCCTTGAGGTGAAGAGCTGAGGGACAGCACCCAGGCCCAGAGTTCAGGCCCCATGACCAGACCCCCCCCAAAAAAAAGAATAAAATCTATGATTTTCTGTACATAAGGGTTTTGTTTGGTATATTTTTTCAAGTTCTATCTTTGGAATAGAGTCAGTACTTCCTATTGTTGAATGAGATTCCATTGAGTGAATAGTCCATATTTATCCATTGATGGACATTTGTGGATTGTTTCCAACATGCATATAAAGTATCCATTTTCAATTTTTAGAAGTAGGATAACTGGATCGTTCAATAATTTAATTCTGGGGAACCAACAAACGTTTTCATCGTGGCTGCATCATCTTACAATCCTACTAGTAATGTACAAGTTTTCCAATTCTTACTTTTTTTTTTTTTTTGTCGGTCATGGGGCTTGAACTCTGGGCTTGGACACTGTCCCTGCACTTCAGCACTTCAGCTCAAGGCAAGCACTCTACCACTTGAGTCACAGCGCCACTTCCGGTTTTCTGGTGGTTGGAAATAAGAGTCTCACAGACTTTCCTGCCCCGGACTGGCTTTGAACCACGATCCTCAGATTTCAGCTTCCTGAGTGGCTAGGATTACAGGCATGAGCAATTCTTACTCATTTTTGTCAACATCTTCTTCTTTCTGTTATTTTTGCTTTGGTGTAGTCATCTTAGTAAGTATGAATCAGCATCTTTTTCTCTTTAAGACAGTTTCACTATGTGGCCCCAGGTTGGCCTCAAATTGATGATATTTCTGCCTCAGTCTACTGAGTGCTACAATTACAAGCATGTACCATCATATCATACCCAGCTGAATCTTTTTTTTTTTGGTGGGGGGGGGTCCGGTCGTGGGGTCTGAACTCTGGGCCTGGGCACTGTCCCTCAGCTCTTCAGCTCAAGGCTAGCGCTCTACCACTTGAGCCACAGTGCCACTTCTGGCCTTTTTCTTTTTGCTTATGTGGTGCTGAGGAATCGAACCCAGGGCCTCATGCATGAAAGGCAAGGGCTCTACCACTGAGCCACCTTCCCAGAACCCCAGCTGAATCTTCTTAGCATCTCACATTTCTCCAATAACTTATGACATTAAACATCTTTCATGTGCATATTGGCCATTTATAAGTCTTTGGAGAAATGTCTTTTCAAGTTCTTTACCCATTACCTGCCCTCCCCCTACTCCATCATGCTAAGAGTAAAACCCAGGACTTCCCATATGTTTTGCAAACTCTATACCACTGAGATTAAGTGGTACAGGACCTACCTTGCAAGCATTAGGTCCTGAGTTCAGCTCCCAGTAACAGCCCCCCCCCAAAAAAATTGTTTCCAAGCCTAGAATCAGACACTACCTATCCATCCTTAGGTACATTACATTTGTTAAGGTCATCAGAGGTGAAGAACATCCAACCCCACTGTCCATATAAAGTTCAAGAAATAATAACTTGGTATATTACAATACAGACCCATAAGCTTCTCATTGGCTTCTATCATGCAGTCTGCTTATATTAATAATTTTATATGCCCATGAATGATATTATAAATTTCCAAATGGCCCTTGGCAGGAAAAATATCCCTCACCACTG